TGGAGGGGCTGAACGCCGGGGCGTAGCGCCCGCTGCGGTGCTCGGGCAGCGCTGGGCCCCAGTCCTTGCTTGCCGTGGTGGCATTTTTCAACCGCTAGATTGTGGGAGAGGATGGGGACAGGGTCAGCACCCACCATACTCCCCTGCCCCAGCCTCTCCCAGCTCCCAGAGGTGGGGTGCCCCATGGATGCTGCCCACACACAGCTGCTGTGGAGTGCTGACAGCTCCAGTGGGATGGGGGACAGCCTTGTAGGCAGCCCCAGGTGGGACATGGACAATCGGGTCTAGCCCCTGGCCACCTACCTCCAGCAGCGGGTCCCCTTCAGAGCGGCACAGTTTGTAGATGGCATGAGGGAGGAGAGCGCCATGAGGAAGCCGATGCTGATGGCCCAGGTGGGGTAGACGTAATCGTTGTAGGCGATGGGCCGGTACTGGATTACTGTGAAGACCAGGATGAACTGGGGAGGGACAGGCAGGATCAGCCAGTGGGGAGCAGCCACCTTGCTCTGCAACCCCCCAGCTGCCACACTCTGCCCCATCCCTGCTGCTCCCCTGCAGCCCAACACCCCCTCTCAAGGGTGGATAGTGGGGGACCCAGGTGGCCCTCCTACAGCCGCATGCCCCACGCCCCACGGTTGCGATGCTCACAAAGATGATGGCGGGTGAGATGAAGCGCCAGCAGATCTGGAAGAAGAGCGGGGGAGGGAAGCCGAGCATCATCTCAATGTCCTTGAAGTAGTTGCGATGTCCTGCAGGGACAAGTGGCCATCAGTCCCTGCGTGGGGGAACCCCAAGACCATCCCTGCCCAGCACCAACTCCAGACCCCGCTGGGTGGACCCACCAACCTCCTTGGGTCATGGCTGCCCTGACTGGCCAAAGGCCTTGCACTCCTCAGCCAGTTAGCACACGGCAAACCGCTGATTGGCCAGAAGTTAGCACGCCCCCTTCCCCATTGGTTGGCTGGGGCATCCCTGCCAGCTGATTGGCCGTATGGTTACACCTACCGTAGATGTACATGATGGCCACGCACATGATGCAGGAGATGATGACCAGGGAGAAGCTGGCGGCATAGTTGTCCATCAGCAGGAGCCAGTAGATGCCCGCCTGCAAGAGGGTGGTCATAGCAACAATGCAGACATGGCCAATGGTGTCAGTGTGGCAAGGTTGCCATGGCAATGGCACACTGTCACCACAGTCCCATGGTCACCTACCTGCGTGGTGAGTGGGACACCCAGCAGGAAACCTGCCACAGCCACCCCCAGCGTCACAAAGGTCTTCCTGCGGATGATCCACTCGTTGCCCACCTCGTCCACAATGGCCGTGACCAGCGTCTCCAGCAGGCAGAACTGCGCGTGGGGCAGAGGGGACAGCATGTCACCACCTTGGCACCACTGTGCCATCCCATCCCAAAACGCTGGTGCCACTACACTGCCCCACCATGACCTACCTGTGTGCCCAGCCCCAAGAGGATGAGCATGAAGAAGAAGAGGATGGACCAGAGGGGCGAGATGGGGAGCAGGGTGAGGGCCTCAGGGTAGGCGACGAAGGCCAGGCCAGGGCCATGGTCAGCCACCTTGGAGACATCCACACCTAGGTGGTTCGCCATGAAACCCAGGATGGAGAAGATGACGAAGCCGGCATAGACACTGGTGGCACAGTTGGTGATGCTGATGATGATGCTGTCCCTGTGGGGAGAGGGGTCAGGGCCAGCGGTAGGCTGGAGGGTGGTAGGGGGACTGGGGGGCTGTGGCCAGGCACTCACCGATAGCAGTTGTTGTGGAACTTGTTGTAGGAGGCCATGGTGATGAGCCCACCCCAGGCACAGCCCAGTGAGTAGAAGATCTGCGAGGCCGCGTCACCCCAT